TAAAGCTCCTCCCCAAGGTCCAGCGCGAGCTCAATTCCGCCTTCAAGCCGGTCCGGGTACAGAGAGCCCCCGGGCTGTATGTGCCAAGCATGGTCGTCGAACTGTTTGCGCGCTGATGGAGGCGGGAATATGGGAGCCACCCGGGGTACGGTGAGGGTCAAGGGATTGCCTTCATTCCCCCTGGCCAACCCCCTTATCGCCACACTTGAGATCAGAGGAACCTCTGCCATCTGCATAATCATACACATCAGCACTCCTGATGATACGAGCTCTCGCAAAGTACCGGTTTGTCCAAGCTCCACATACCGGCTTGGAGGCCAGTCCACGCTCTACTTCGAGCGAAGGCATACCAGTAAGTGGAGACATCGAGGTTTGTAGATTTGGGCGCAGTGATATCAAGGAATATGCCTGGTATGCCGAGAAGCGTATAACTGGGGAGCTGACGGGATGTGAATGAATCCTCGGCAATCCAACTAGCGAGTCGTTTTACACGTATGCCGAAACCCGACTGCGGGTCACTCACGGACACCGCTCTTGGATTGCAAGGAAAGACAAATCTGATGTGCCAGAGAGTTGTCTGCCGAGCGATGGGGTATTCACAGAATGAGATGGTGGTCGTCAACTTGTAACACCGTCACGCCTGCGGTTAGTTCCAAAGCTTCAAGTACCACGACCAGCCGGGCGCAACTCTGGGCGTACATACGCGGACAGAGGCCAGAAAATATAAAATCAGTCAACCTACATCCGACGCCTCATGCAACGTGTCATTGATGCAGACGATGCCGTGTTTGACCATCACGATGCCGTTGCGATACGCTCTGCATACTACCACTCATCTATGCCAACCGCGTGAATACACGTTCGCTCATCTTCCCCGCCAACCTCGTTTCACGACCGTCCCTGCACACCCAAGGCACTCCCACGCAACCCACGTCAAGATACAGTCAGACCGGAAGAACAGGCCCGGTACTGTACACCAGCTACGTCTCAAGCTTGCGCCTTACGTAGGACAACATGCTTGTAAGTACTTAAACCTCTCATGCCTGCGCTCCGTTGTATTCTATACTGACGATCACATGTATTCCAGGAAGCCTTAGTGCACGCTGCGCATTCGGGCGGCTCATCGATATCTACTGACCTTCGTGTGAAAATAGCCTCGTCTGCATTGCCACGAAGTACACATTCTATCAGTCCATCTCACCTACGGTGTCTACGGACGACCACCATCTCCCATAGATGCCCCAGCGTCCTACTACCTTCAGTTCGTCTTCGCACCTGGTGGTCGATTATTAGATCGTAAACCCGCCCCACTCGTGCACGAGCACTATGCCCGCGCCTCGCGCCATCCACGAGATTTACAGCACCGAGCTCTTCAAGCTCAAGTATGGCTACCCGATCTGGGATGCAGAGCCTGAGGAGGGCAAAGAGTCCGGGTCGGCAGTCGACCTCGAGATCGGCGTCGTCGGCTACCTCGACTCGGGCAAGTTCTGGCTCCTGTTCCATAGCAAGCGACCCGCGGACGATCCGTACCAGAAACACGGCGTGCCCTCCTACTTTGAGCAGTTCAACCCGCCGCCTAGCATGTACCAGAACCTCTCCATCAAGTACCCCGTGCTCACCAGCGAGGGCGTGCGTGACAGGGAGCTCTCCGTCGGGGCCGGTGCATCCCCACCCAGGTCAGTCCAATCGCGTGGTAGACTCCCACCACCCCATTGAAGCCGCCGCGCAACAGCCTCGACTCCCTCTGCGCCGGAGGTGCCGAGCTGAAGCTCAGCCTGAAGGAGAAGACGGGCGCGTTCCTGGTGCTCGAGACGCCTGTGGACGCGCTCATATTCAAGTCCAAGCAGTGGGTGAAGGAGTACATGCGGCACAACTTCGACCGCTGGCTCGAGTTCGCGAACACCGAGCGCGGGATGGAGCTCCGCTACGACCAGGTCTACTTCGTGCACGGCACGCGCAAGACGTCCCGCTGGGCGTGCGGCGCGTACGAGGGCTCGTCGCGCAGCGTCGGCGGCCACCTCAGCGCGCAGGTCCTCGCCGGGAACATCAACGTATCGCTCTCGTTCAGCAACGAGTCTGCCGTCCGGAAGGAGTACAACTACGGGCCGTCTACGCGGCGGGGAGGGAGCAGCAGCATCCGGACGGTGTCGACGCGGGAGAGCGTGGAGGCGGAGCAGCGTGATTTGCCGTGGAACCAGACGGTGTTCCTGCACTACTTCAAGGCCAAGAAGCGCATCTTCTGGCGCTCGAGGTATATCGAGGCTGCTGGAGGGCCGCATGAGCTCCCGGACAATGAAGACCCAGACGACTCCCGTTTTAACGATCCCCTCTCCGCTGGCTATCGCTCTACTCCTTCTCCGTCGTCGTCGGATTTTGAAGAGGTTCCTGGTCCGACTGAGGTCAGATATACCGCACCCTGTCTCTGCACGCTCTGGCCGCGATACTGACGCAATGGGTGGTGATGGCGCCGCAGGTGTTCGACCCTGTCAACTCTCTCTTGGACTACATCCTTGAGGTGAGCGAAGCATCCCGAAAACGTCACAGCTCGTGTTGACAAGAACTGCAGAATTCTGAAGCAAGGATCGCCATTGCATGCGACATCGACCTCTACGCACTCTTCCATAATGTTGAGTTCCCATCGGACATCCCAGCCGCGCTGGAAACACTCCATCCAGACATCGATGTCGACGAGGAAGGAGGTAACAATGTCTCGCTCATGCACGCGAGCCATGGTGCTAAACTCGTGTGGGGTGCGTGTAGCGGGCACAGTGGTCGTGGATCACGAACTCTACTACGCAGCTCAGGCGGGTACCGAAATCGCCGAGTCCTCTCCAGCCGGAGAGGTTGTCACTCAGGCAGGTTCGTAGTATATTCATTTCTAGCTTCGTATCGGTGCTGATTATGTTTCCGAAGAAGCAGCTGGGGAGTCTGTCCCTGAAAACGTCGTTCAGAGCGTACCAGAAGCATCAACGGAGCCTATCGCAGACGTTGTAGCGCAACCTGCACACACGACCGAGACCACGCTGGAGCCCGCAACAGAACATACCGTCGACACTGCGGCAGAGCCCTTGGCTTCAGAAGGGCCTATTGCCCAGGCAGCGATAGACACCAATACGGAGACTGCGCCTGCTCCAGCCGCGGAGAATCCTCCGGAACCTATCCCAGAATCCATACCAGTGCCGGGCGAAGAAGCGGCAGGCATAGAACCCCAAGTGACGGTCACAGAAGAGGTACCGGCGGAGGTACCTGCTGTCGCCCAACGCGAAAGCGGCCGTGAACCGATGCCTGCTCCGTCGTACCGATCCTGGCCAAGGTTCGAAGGGCAGGCAGGATCGTCCTCTGGTATAATACCAGACCCAGCCCCAGAAGCATCGACTAGCCAATCCCCCTCGACCTCAGTGCCAAGACCCCAGTTCCAGCACTTGTTCGGCCCTCCGCCGCCTACAACGAGTGGCGGCGCAGGCGAGGGTGAAGGTGAAGAGGACGAAGAAGATGAAGAAGAGCTGACCGAAGAGGAGGCACGTCTGCGGGAGCAAGAGCTGCTGCAATCCCGCCTCGAATGGGCGCCGGCGACCGAAGGCCACACCGGCGCCGTGACCGCGCTCATGTACTCGCACGATAGCAAGCTGGTCGCGACCGGCTCGGACGACACGTCCATCGCGATCTGGGACGCGGCGACGCAGACGATCGTGAGCAAGTGGGACGCGCACACCGACGTCGTCTGGGCGCTCGCGTTCTCGCCCGACGACAAGCGGCTCGCGTCCGCGGGCGCAGACAGTGCCGTCATGGTCTGGGAGGTCGATACTGGCGCGCTGCTCGCGACGATGGACGGGCACGATGAATCGATCCACGCCATGGCCTGGTCCGCGGACGGCAAGTGGATCGCGTCCGGCTCCGACGACATGATCGTGAGCTTCTGGGATGCGGACACGTACGAGTTGCGCGCGGTGCTCCAGGGCCACGAGGCCATGATCACCTTCGTCCGCTTCTCGCCCGACGGGAAGTGGCTTGCGAGCGGCGGCGCAGACTACGTCTGTCGGATCTGGGACGTCGAGCAGCGCGCGATCCACGCCGTCCTGCGCGGCCACACGGGCATGGTCTGGCACGCGGACTTTGACCCGGAGAGCCGCCGGCTGGCGACGTGCTCGGACGACGCGACCGTGCGCGTGTGGAACGTCGAGACGGGCGAGGCGCTCCTGACCATCTATGAGCACCAGGGCCCGGTGTGGATGGTCGGATTCTCGCCCGACGGGACGCGCCTGCTCAGCGCGTCGAGCGACTCGACGATGAAGATCTGCGACGCGTTCACGGGCAAGATGACCGCCGCACTCTTCGGCCATGAGAGCATGATCAACACCGCGTACTTCTCGCCCGACGGCAAGTACGTTGCATCCGCGTCGAGCGACAACACCGTCCGTCTCTGGCGGTCTGAAGATGGGTCATGCGTCGCAACGTTCAACGAACACGACGACAAGGTGACCCTGGTGATGTTCAGCCCTGACGGTGAAACGTTGGCCTCTGGATCAGACGACGGCACCGTACGCATCCGGCTCACGCACCAGTGGGATGTCGACCGTGTGGACGATGACGCTGACGAAGACGGGGAAGACAAGAAAGATAAAGACGGAGAAGCACGAGACGCAGGTGAGAAGGGACATGAAGGCGACAGTGACAACGGCGCGAGAGACGAGGGCAAACCTGACACAACGGCAGGGCCAGAAGGCAACAAGGACGAGAAGGAAAAGACGAATCAAGCCAAGGAGGAAGAAGAGAACGCACCGGGCCCAGGCACGGGCAAGGTAGATGTAAAGGGCAAGGGGGTCGCTCGGTAGCTGAGCGCTGAGCCGCTAAGCTCGGCGTGCGTGTGCTGTATCATAATCGTTTGCGGTGATACCGATCAAAGATTTTTTGAGCTTTCCTGACGCCTACGGCTGGTGGTGCTCTTGCTACATAAGTATGTTACGACAACAATCGGTTGGAAGGATACAAAAAAGGGTTCATGACAGTGACGAGATTCGAACTCGCGCGGGAAACCCATCACGGTGTAGTATGAGTAACCTAAACGTGACGCCGTAACCACTTGGCTACACTGCCGCAAGGACTGGTCTCCGCGGGTAGATCCCACTGGATAAAAACATGTTGCCTGCCTGAGGCTCTCTCACTCTGTCTTCGGACTCGCCTTGGCAGCTACCTCCTTCTCGGCGACAGTCCAAGCGAAGCTAAGGCAATATACATACTGTACAGTATCACCTCATACTCCGGTACCCCAAACTACGCCATCGAGAACCTGCAAACTGTGATTGTTGTGGCACGTTGGCGGTGCGATATTCGTCCGCCGCCGTGTCTGTGTAACTAGTAGTCTCGGGAACACAGTGACCCAGTACTTCCGCCTGAGACTTATGCTCCCCGTATGCGTGCTAATATGCTGATGCTTGCTCTTTCCCGTCAACCTGGTTCGGAAGGAAGCAATTGAGAGATACCGTGAGTACCTGCATCCATGCTTCGCGACTCCTACAACGCTGATCACGCCTCGAATAGACGTGCTACAGCACAAGTCGTTTGGCCGTGTCGCAAATGTATCATTTCCGTCTCAATCTGCCCCGCTTCCAATGCGGAGGGTTTTCCCCGTCATGCCGTGCCATCGGTTCACCTGCCGCATATCGCCTGGCCTCAATCCCACGGCTAGGCGGTCAGTCGACTTCGCTGACACGTGGTGGCAGGCGATGCGACCTGTACAAGGTTCAATCCTAGGAAACTTGCAGAGGAGCCTCCCCAACGCACGCCCACCTTCCTTTCGTCTCTCACCCCATACCTGGAGTGCACCCTTCCATTGCACCGATGGCTGCGACACACGCATGGGACATCTACGCTAAGGCGTTATTCCACCACGGGCATGGGTATCCCCTCTGGGCGCCCGACCCGGAGCGCATCGATGGGACCGAGTGGGAGGTTGAGATCGCGGACGTTGGCTGGTTGAGAGAAGGCGCTTTCATGCATCTCCTCCGTACCCGGTACGAGGGGGAACAGGGCGAGGGTGTCCAGCCGCGGAAGCTCCTCCCGGACGACTACACCTCCTTCGACCCACCGAACGTGGTCAAGACCGGACCGACGGAGAAGATCACCCAGCCCGTGCTGTACAGCCAGACGATAAAGAATGTTGAGGTGACGGGCGGGGCATCCGTGAACATGTACGTGCCACGATGCCACCTTCATCAAACCCTCACATTGATTAGTTCTACTCCAGTCCCCTAACGCCTACCACCCCGGGGGGTAATATCAAGTTCCAATGCATGGACGAAAGAGGCGCGCTCCTCCTGCTCAGCCCCAGCGGTGAGGAGACGTACATTTCTTCGCGGAGGCACATTCATAACTACCTGCGTGAGCACCTCGACCACTGGGAGGAGTTCGCCAATGGACCACTGGGGCTCGAACTACCCCAAGAGGAGATCTACTTCGTCTCTGGCGTAACCAAAACGGCGCGCTGGGGCGTCGCTGCCTTCCACGGCTCCCAAAGCGGGGCCCAAGGCAACGTCTCCTGCGACCTCGGTGCGCTGGGCTCCGCGCAGCTGTCTCTATCAATCGCCAACTCTTCCAGACCCGGTGTGTGGTACCGCACCGGGCCACCTCGCGCGCGCCGCAACTCACATTCGCCCACTCCTAGCTTTTCATCCGCCCCGCCAGGCATATACCCCTCTTCACTCGCACAGACGGTCATTTCTGGCTCATCCACCTCGATATCCACGTACGCGACAACCCCGGAGCCCCTGCCCTCTGCGTACAACACTGTTTTCGGTGGCACTGATGCGCAATTCATGCCTAGCGTTCCCGCCGCCGTACCCGGTGTGCCAGACAGAGCGGACCAATGCATCTTCATACATTACTACAAGGCGAAGCGCCGTTCCGCGTTAGCACGGAGGCTCTTTGGCATGCGGCTTGCCGCCGCCGCAGGCCCGCACGCACTACCGCCCCGAGACCCATATGGGGACGCCGATAGTTCAAGCCCGGTGCTTGCCGACGACGGAAGCGAAGGGCATCTTCCGGAGTTCGAGTTCGAGATGGTGCCGGACGTACCAAGTGTGCGTATCCACTCGATGTGTGCACATTTTTCCATGAGCTGACCGCAGGCCGGCTGCAGCCCTACGACCCGGTCAACGAAGTGCTGAAGTATATCTTGGAAGTCAGTGTCGATGGACCAATTTGACCCATGCGTTCGAAGTTGATCGTGACAATTCATAGAAATCAGATGCAGAGATTGCGATCGCTTCAGATCTGGACCTCTATGCACTCTTCAAGGCATGTACGCACGTTGGTGCGCCGAAGTTGCCCAATTACTGATACTGAGCTTTAGGGTCGAGAGTTTCCAGAGGACGTTGCCGAAGCCTTGATCGAGCTTGACCCCAAAATCGAGGTTGATGAGTCTGGAGGTTAGTCCGTAGCTACCCATGACAACAAATGGAGGCTCACAAGTGGTGCAGCTGGTACTTTGTCTCTGGACCTCGTGTTCGCGAGAAAAAGAGAAGGAGAAGAACTCGAAGGATCTCCTAACAAGAAGCCTGCACACGGTGATACAAGTCCTACCAAAGACGCGGACATGGAAGTCGATTCACATAGTAGGTTCCCTCTGTCGACGCTGTATGCAACTCTCAGCCCTCATCTCAATCCGTGTACAGCAGCGATGGGGCTAGGCAACGTCCCTGGTACCATTCCATACATTCCCCAACTTGCACCACCACCACACGTCGAGCGAGATCCTGAAGAAGAAAAGGAGCATGCACATATTCTGGGCGGAGACCTCTCGACACATGAGGGAGCTGTGACCGCATTGGCGTATTCTGCTGACGGCCGCTATCTCGCCAGTGGTGCAGAGGATACATCCATCATCCTCTGGTACGCGCGAGAAGGCACTGTGAAGTGCAAGTTTGCGGCGCACGACGATACTGTGTCTGCGCTCGCGTTCTCACCCAACGGCGCGCTCCTTGCATCGGCCTCGGACTTCGGGCCCGTCAAGCTATGGCAGGTGGAGGCGCTGTCCGCGGAGCCACAGACCCTCGACGCGGGAGTATTCATCCGCACACTCGCCTTCACCCCGGACGGCTCGAAGCTGCTCGGCGGCGCCGCAGACGGCACATTCCTTGCCTGGAACCTCGGGAACCTCGAGCAAATCCATATCGACCCGCACGGCGCCGTCATCAACTTCATCGTCTTCTCCCCCAACGGCACACTCATGGCCACCGGCGGCACCGAGACCTCCTGTCGCATCTGGGAGGTTGCGCAGCTCGACCGCCATACTGGCGTTGCCAGCGGTCCCGTCACACCCAAGTTCATGTTCGAGCACCAGGGCATGGTCACCTCCGCGTCGTTCGCGCCAGACGGGCGGCGGGTCGTCACTGGCTGCGACGACGGGACGTGCCATATGTGGAGCACGGAGAGCGGCGCACTGCTGATGGAGGCGCGCCAGAACGAAACTCCGGTCTGGTCCGTTGCGTTCAGCCCGGACGGCCGCCGGTTCGCGTCCGGGTCGTCAGACGCGACGGTGACGGTGTACGACGCCTGGAAGGGCAACTCGCTTTTCTCGCTCATCCGACACAACCATATGATCAACGCCGTCGCGTACTCTCCCGACGGCCGGTTCCTCGCGTCTGCGGCGTCCGACAACACCTTGCGGCTCTGGCGCGCCGAGGACGGGGAGCTCGTCAGGACGTATAACGAGCACAGCGACAACGTTACGTTCATGGCGTTCTCTCCAGACGGCAAGACGATAGCTTCTGGCTCGCACGATGGTTCGGTTCACATCAGGCAACTTCCCGCGCGCGTTGCTTGAGGTTGCCTACCCTCCGAAACTGGTGCGTGCACGCCAAACGCACTAGCGCCTTCAAGTAGCAATCAAAACTCTTCAAGATGTGGCCACCAGGGTAAGTCTATCTTAAATTAGCTTACCATTTGGCGAACTTGATACTTATCGAAGGCGTGGACGCGACTGATGTCATTTCTGCCATGTCCGCCTAAGATATGAATTGGAACATGTAGTATGTCGTATGCTGGACTATCACCCATCCAATGATATGTTCTAGCTTAGTGTTTTAGTCATAGACACGCATCCGGGAAGTCGAACGATGAATAAACACAGGCTCCTTTATCTCGTTTCGTTTATGTCAAGCGACTTGAGACTGCGTCGGAGCCTGGCCCTCCTGCCTATAATCATTAAATGCTCCCTGTGGCCGCCGACGTCAGCGGAACGGAGCTGCTCTGGCACGCGGCGTACCGTAGCTTTTCCAAGAGTAACCACATGCCCGCATCAGTGTCTACTCCGGACTCCGGACTGCTTATGGCATTCGCGCATTGAGTGGAACGCGTCTGCTAAGCGTCTCGGAGTCGTACATCCCGAGAACGTGAGCAGGGCTTCATCAGATACTGCAACGCGCCCCACTGTATCCGGAAGTGGACGAATGGTTTGAGACAAGATACCGAAGCATTTTCTTCCACTTTTCCCTGAGTATGTAATGCAGTATATTGCCGCGGAAAGAGCAGGTCGTACTGGACACGGGCGCCAAATGAGACGCCCATCATGTATATACTCAAGTCGGGCTTGATTTCGCCCACCGCGTCCGTACAGCCGTCCTCCACAGATGTCGCCAGATAGACAGCCGCTCTGACGAATGGCACATATGTTGATGTACGTTTTGTATAGAGACACGTTCGGATATGCTCGTACTGGTGGGTGGCCCTCGTCAGTACTACCAGAAGTCTAACGTCGTTAGATCAATGCTCACACTGTTGCCTACTCCCGCAGTACACTGCACGCCGCTTTTGAGCGATAAACGTCGACCTGAAGGAAATGTACGGATACGCGTGTAATTGACTTATTACATGCGCAGCCGCAGTCGTTTCAACCCCGTCCTCACAAGGTAGAGCACACCGTACGTGTTTCCGAGCCCGGTCGCGGCGGAATGTAGGTCACTATCCTCGGCGTCAGGTTGGTAGGTGCTAGGCGCGAGTCTATGTAACAACTTTTGACCTTCCTCGGGGACGTAGAACGTGGTGGCACTGCCATGCTCCGTCGGTCCCATGTCAGTCACACCTCTACTCGACCTGTC